AAGGAGGATGTGGTGGATGCACCCAGCTGGAGGTGCAGTCGGAGGAGCTTTGGAATACAATCATGTCTTAGTTATCTAGTACTGCTGTAACAGAAATATCACGTGAGTGGCTTCAATAAACAGAAATCTGAAGTCTAAAAGTGCAACTCTAGGAGACCAGCTCTCAGGGAAAGCTTTCTCTGTTGCCTCTGTGAACCTATCCTTCTGCCTGGGCAAGTTTTATGCAGCTTTGTATCTCTCTTCCCCCATCTCTGCTTTCTGACTTGCCCTAATTTGTAAGGATTGATTTAAAACATTCTACATTAATTCTCTCTCATTAACATAACAAAGACAATCTATTTGCAAATGGGATTATAACTCCAGATATAAAACCAAATCCAAGATTCCAATTTATAGAACTCTTATGGGACCGAGTAGAACTGTCTCATAGAGTCTCCACAGGTTGTAGATCTTAACTGAAGCCAGCTAGTGCACCACCACAGCTCCTCCCCCAGGCATAGAGTTAGGGTTTACAACATATATTTGGGGGTGAGTATGGAACATAATTAAATTTGTAACAATGTCAATTCATCAGAATTGAGAGTGTACAGGGGCAGAAGCAAGTCAGACTCAACGTTCGCAGTTACACAGCAACTTGAGAAGACAGAAAGTGCTCATTTCCTAACAACCTGCAAGGGAAGAATCAAGGAATGTTTTCTGTGACCTTACTAAGGAAGCCTCACCTGGTGTGTTGTATCTCATCCTTGGCCTCTCAAAATTTTCAGCTTTTAGAAGGAGGATGTTTGCCACTTAGAAGTGAAAGGGATGAAAAGGACATTTAAAGAGTTCAAGGAATATTCCCCAAAAGAACTCATTATATAATGTTTGCCGTCTCCCTGTGTTCCATCTAGACCTTCAGGAGGAAATGATGGGAATCTTGGGGGAGGCTGAAATGAGAGCAGGAGGGCTACTAAGAGGGCTGAGAAAAGTAACTTCTCTTGTAGCCATTCTTGAGACTGTATTCTCTTTACTTAAAGGGAATGATTGGGCTGGTGATAATGTCCAAGAGGGCCAAAATTATATATATTTCCTTATGGATCCAAGAATAGATATCCTCTTACTTGCTCTTCATGTGGAGCAGACTGGAATTGGGTTAGTAACAGTACTCAGCTTTATTTGCTAATAACAATAATAAAGACCGCAGCCAAGGCAAGTCCATCATTAATCCCTGCCGTGTGTAGACACTGTGTTTGATGTTCTATGCATGATCCTATTTTGTCCCCACAGACCCATGCACAGTTGGCAGAGCAATCCTCACTTTGTATCTTAAGAAACTGAGACCAGGAATTCAGATAACTTCAAATGGTTCTCACTCACTCTCTGATTAAGAAAAGCTTCCTTTTCACTACATTAAAGTCAACCAGAAAATTGTGGAGGTGTGCAAGAACCTGAGATAAAGCAACCTTAACTTGAATGTGTGGGGAGATTATTAATAGCAGGCATGGAAGCTCTAAGCTCTCATCTTGAGGTAGCAGGATAAATGCCATTTTTCTTATTGAAATGAAAATTGGACACATTTCTAGAAATTAGTATCAGTACACAGTTTTAGTTTGCTTGGCTCCACAGTCAACAGTTTTGGCACCAGCGGCCAGGAAATTAAAAGGCACATTGCCATGGGAAAGTCTGTTGTTAGGGACCTCTCCAAAGTACTGAAGAGCAATGGTGTCTCTCTGGAGACGAAGGTGCGTCTGATACAGGCCATGGTCTTCGCAATCACTTGTTATGCATCAGAGAGTTGGACAATGATCAAGGAGGATAGAAGGAGAATTGATGCCTTTGAGCTGTGGTGCTGGAGAAGAGTATTGAGAATACCATGGACTGCTAGGAAAACAAACAGATTTGTTCTGGAAAGGGTTAAACCGGGTGGCTCCTTGGAGGCAAGGATTCTGAGGCTCCGTCTAACATACTTTGGACATGTTGTGAGGAGAGACTGGTCCTTGGGGAGGGACATCATGCTTGGGAGGGTGGAGGGACGGCGCAGGAGAGGAAGGCCCACTATGAGGTGGGTTGATTCAGTGACTGGGATAATCGGGATGGGAGTGTCAGAGACAGTGCAATTGGCACAGGACAGAGCAGAGTTTAGGGCTGTTGTACAGAGGGTCGCTATGAGTCGCAAGTGACTCGATGGCACATAACAACAACAACAACAACAACAACAACAGCAGCAGCGGAAAGGGAGGCCAGCTGGGGCAGGAGGGGAGGGGTTGTTGGGGCAGGCCACAGTGGACAGTAGAAGCCAATCTGCCTCTCATTTCTTGCTTGTAAAGAGCTGGTGAACATTAAGTTATTACAGGATTTGAGTGCCTACGAGGAATATAGGAAGAGAAAAAAAGGCATTTGGTGTGTTAGAATGATAGTATCAGTGCTCTCCAGTAAACACCTGGTGAAGTATGAAAGTGGCTTAGCTCACTCAAAGCATCATTAAATAAGGCAGAGTGAGGAAGTGGGGCAATTGCAAGTAGTGCACAGCTCTGTCCTCCTTCAGTGGGCCATCTGCACACAGACCTTACTCAGGGTGTGAACAACCTTGCTAGCTCTTCCTTCCGGTCAGCCCTGTTTTCAGCTTAACAAGCCACTTTTCCTTCAGTATGCATAAATCAGAGCAGCCTTTCTAATTCTACCTACTTCTCACCTCATTTAGAGCCCTGGGCTATACAAATAGTTAAGTGCTCCACTACCAGCTTTAGCTTAAAGGTTGTTGGTTCAAATCCACCCGGAGGCACTCTGGAAAAAAGATCAGGTGATCTGCTTCCAAAATGTCACATCCTTGAATGTCTTATGAAGCACAGTTCTGCTTTCCTACATGTGAGGTTAAAATCTACTTTGATGGCAACTGATGTGAGTCTTTATTGCCTAGGTTTTATGGTCAGAGGACTTCCTTTATGTGCTCTGCTGAGATTATGGTCAGATGCTTTTGTTTATCCATTAACAATCTTGATCTATGTTAGTCCTCAGTCTTCCTGTTTGGTGATTTATACACTTGCCTGCTTTCATCTTGGGTTCTGAAGGACTGGAATTTGTGTAAATGTCATACTAGGTTGCTGTTGTGTACCTTCTGACTCATAGCTGATCCTTTAGTGCATTTTCAGAGGCAGTAAATTACAGAGGAGAAGATTGCCCATCTTCCTTCTAAGGAGTGTGAAGCTGCATTTATATAAAGTCCTTACAAGAGGTCTATTGAGCCATTCTGATAGATTGCTTGATTGAGCTATAGGAAATCTAAAACTATGACCCAGATCCAGAGTGTCGACCATGAGGGATTCACAACTGAAGACTCCTGTGTAGTAATGCAAGTGTGGAATGTTCCACCAATAGCTGATCAGACCATCAAGGTGTATCAAGCCAGGCTCAGAAGAGGGATAATCATTACTGATACCAGATCTCAACTTAAAGTTGAAAATACCAAAAAAATTCTTTACTTATGTTTTATTAACTATGAAAAGACATTTGACTATGTAGATCATAGCACATTATGGACAATATTGCAAAGAATCATAAATTTAGAATTGTGCTAATGCTGAATATGTACAAAGACCAAGAAACAGTTGTTTGAATAGAACAAAATGATTATTTGTGATTTAGAACAAGGAAAAGTTTGCATTAGGGTTATCTAGAAATCAAATGGCACATTTCATTGGACAAATGCATAAAAGATCTCTTAGAAAGCAAAGATGTCATCTTGAGGACTAAGGTGCACTTGGATATTTTTAGTAGCTTCATGTACATGAGAAAACTGGGAAATGAATATGGAAGACCAAGGAAGAACAGATGCATTTCAATTACAGTATTTGAGAGGATATGGAATATAGTACAGAATATGGAATACTATAACAATATGGGGTGTGGACTGGGGAAAAAAATAAATCTATCTCAGAAGAAGTACAGTAGAATGCTCCTTAAAAGGAAGCGCTGGTGGCCTATTGGCAAGAAGCTGTGCTGCAATCTCAAAGGCCCATGGTTCAAATCCACTAGAACACTAGATGGTCTGCTGGAGAAAGAGGGGCAATCTCTTGCTGTGCCAGTCGTATCTGATTCAATGGCATACAACAAGGGCGGGGGGAGAAAAAGAAAGAAAGGATGGTGAGACTCACATACTTTGGGCTGGGCATGTCATCAGGAGATGACCTGGGGGAAAGATATTATGCTTGGTAAAGTAAAAGGTCAAAGAAAGGAAAAAGATCCTCTATTTAATGGACCAACACAATTGCTGCAACAATGGGCTCGAACATTCTAAAGAGAGTACAGCTGTGTAGCATTTTATTCTTTTGTAAATAAGGTCCCTATCGATCAGAACTGACTCCATGGCACCTGATTACAATTATTGAATACCAAACAGTATTAAAATAGTAAAAGTTGCAGTGCAATGTTTAATTTCCTATCCAAGATCAAATTAGTAGCCTGTTCAGTATATGGGCATTGAGTAAGAACTGCTATTCTTTTGAAGGCATTAACTTCAATTAAAATTATTCAGTGAGGAGTTTGATAGAAGCAGGGGAACTTCTTTGGTACAAAATGGGAATTTATATAACATTGTTACATAGAGACCTGGAAATTAGAGCTGAGAGAAAGCCTTTTAAAAATCAAAGCCCTATTTTGGCCTCAAAAACAAGACCAAAATAAAATACTAACTGCTGTTATAAAGTGTTTTACTTTTTAAAAATAGGCTGTATGATAGAAATGAATATAAATGTATGTTCCTGATAAGAAACAGAATTATGTTTATGTTCAAGTACATATGTATGTAAGTGAGTAGTCATTTAGGCACTTAGGGTATTCAATTACTGGGGCATTTTCAGGAATTTGAATAGAATTGTTATTTCTACTGCAACTCTCCCTGCTTATTATTGATAGCCCATGCATGTGGGAAAGTTAAATTGTATTATAAGAATCTGACAACAACCTTTTCTCCTTTCCTACCTTTTCAGAACTTTCTTCGCTCACTGTGTTAACAAAAAGCCAAGATGTTGGTGTTACTGGCTGGTATCTTTGTGGTTCACATCGCCACCGTTATTATGCTGTTTGTTTCCACCATTGCCAATGTGAGTAACGATCCTCTGTTCATTCGTTCATTCACCAATTCTTTATCCAAATGTTCATTTCTTTAAAGGGAGCTCAGGTGGCTTAGTGGCTAATGACTTGTGCTGCCAATCCACAAAGCACATGGTTCAAATCCCCCAGCTGCTTCATGGGAGAAAGATGGGCAATCTCCTCCTGTATAATTTACTGCTTCTGAAATCCTGCTGAAAGAACAATGATGCGTCAGTTCTAAAATAAAAAAAGAAGAAGAACAACAACAAAAACCCACAACAAAGTGCTTCAAAAGAAATTGAAATCCCGGTCCCGGACTTTTGTGAACTTACAGCTCAGTTGTGGGAAGAAATATATTATATATGCTTAGAAAATTAAACAAGAAGAAAGAGGCTGTAGGTATTCAGTGATGGAGGACTCACGCGGCGTCTGTCTCTATGGGAGCTTTCTCGACAGAGAAAGAGCTTGAGGTGGAACTTGGGAGCCAGACTGGTGGAGTCAGAGGGTGGAAGAAAGATGATAATGAAAGAGCTTGGGGTACATTCATGATAGGAGTGATAGCAAAGGTACAGAGGTAGAAGGACAAGCTTTACTCATGAGATGATAAGGACAGCCTTGTGACTGGGGCCAGAACTTCTTTCTGACATCTTTAGTTAGAAAAACAGATTAGAGGGAGCAGATGAACAGCCCTGATGGAGAGCCATGCTGATGAATTCAAGTTCTGAACTGATAGTAGTCTAGAGAAGTAAAATTTTGTAAAAGTAACCCTATTTTGTTGAGTTCATTCACTGAAGCAAAACAACAAAATATTACAAGGGAAGCAATTTTTTTTCAGAACTTTGGGCTAGTCTGACCTCTAGTGGTAATTTAATGTGTTTAATTTGCTTTCTCTGCTTATAGTGGGAAGGGAGTTCTGGGGGCTGCCAACCTGGAGTAAAGGCACACAGTTCAAATCCACCAGCTGCTCCTCAGGAGAAGGATGGATGGACAGTATCCTCCTATGCAATTTACAGCCTCTGAAAAACTGCTGGGGGCTCAGCTATGAGTTGGATCTGACTCAGGGGCACACAACCTAATTGAAGATAAAAATCAAGGCAACAAATCACTAGACGGGCAAACTATGGCTCTGTTTAGGTCGCAGTTACAACGAAAAATGATAAAGAAATGTATAAATTCAGATGACATTGCTGGGTGTAATTGTCAGTTAGCTAATGTAGACATAGTTGTAATAAGACAGCACCCCAGTATCCCCAAACCCTGCCTATAACATCTCCTCCAGAGTGTAACTTAGCCATTCTGTATGCTGTCTCCAAAAATAAATTACCTGGGAGGAAATTGCCTGTGTTTTTCCCATGGAACCACTAAGGGATTCGAACTGTCAGAAAGGTGTGTGACCTTTGGTTAGCTCCCTATAGACTAGGGAGTGAACTCACTCTTGCTGATTTTTGTTTTTCTTTCCTTTTAAGAACACAGGGGTCAGGTTATAATTTTTTTCTTTTTTCCTTCTGGTTTCAGGTCTGGGTGGTTAGAAGTGATGGAAAGGAATCAGCAGGTCTCTGGAGAAATTGTACTAATGGCAACTGTGATGATACCCTTGCGTATGCTAGTGATGGTATGTATAACAGTGCTGCAGTCAATATTGGCATTTAGTGGAGTCGGGGAAAATGCTGGTCCTCTCAGGCCCTGGCCTGTCTAATGCTTGCTATCTTCCCCCTGTTCTCATAGATGCCCTCAAGTCGGTGCAGGCCTTCATGATCTTGTCCATTATCTTCTCTGTCATCTCCCTTGTGGTCTTCGTGTTCCAGCTCTTCACCATGGAGAAAGGAAACCGCTTCTTCCTATCTGGGGCCACAATGCTGGTGTGCTGTGAGTATCTCAGCAGCAGATTCTCATTTAAGTCATTAGCTGCCAAGTTGGTTGACTTTTCCAAAGCATTTCACCATGTCTGTCTCCCAGGGCATCTTTAGGTGGATTTAAACCACCATACTTATAGAAAGCACTTACCTGCTTGTGCCACCTAGGGTCCCCCTGTTAGGTAGGAGTGCTTTGAGCAGATCATACCATGGAATGGATACCACTGATTGATCTTGAGTAACACATAGCTTAGGGAAACTACTTGTACAATTTTCTCCTCTGGATATTCTTTTTTTGGAGACCCTCTCAATGTAGCCTGGATTAAGATCTCTCATCTGCTTTATCTGGTTTGAAAGCAGGAGTGACATCCACTTCCTAAACAACATGCCTCTAGGAAACTCTATGAAGTTTGATAAATGTCGATAGTTGTAGAGGCACTTCAGGCCTTTTGTTCGTAGGATGGCTATGAGTCATGTTTGACTCAAGGCAATCGACAACAACAATGTCTGCTTTATTAGAGAGCTCTGGTGGCCCAGTGGATAGGACTTGCACTACCAACCCAAAGGCAAGTGCTAAAAATTCACCAGCTGCCCCATGGGAGAAGGATGGACAATCTTCTCCCATGTGACTTACAGACTTTGAAAATCTGCTGGAGGGTCAGCTCTGAGTAGGTTCCAATAGCAATGAGAGGGGGAGAGATGCTTCATTGTTTAAAACTGGTGATCACCGGCAGTTGCCAAGTGTTAGGGGCACACGACTTCAGGAGCCTCACTTGGAGAGGGTGGGAGTCCTCCAAAAGATAACGAACATTGCCACGATGCATGCAAACATTGTGATGATAATTCTATTGTCATTTCTCCCAATTATGTCCAATTTGGCAGAAGTCTGTGTTCTTTCACTGCACCTTTCAAAGTAGCCCTGCCTGGACATGCTGGGCCCAGACAGGAAGGCTGGGTGGTGGGCACTGTGTTCTGTGTTTTATTTCACATTTGCAGCCACACAAACCAATGCGAGTGCCAGGGCCCCAAACACTGCTAATTTATCAATGCACTCAAAGCTTAGTCTGAGACAAGGCAGCAGAATGACTGCTCAGGGCAGAATAGTTAGATTTAGTTTTCTCTTGCTATTAAAGGCAATGAGGAGCTTAGACAGTTATAAACATTTCTTTTCCCTTGTATCTTAAAACAACAGCCATTTTTCAGATAACGCCTTTCTCTCTCCTTCCGGCAGGGCTGTGCATCCTGATTGGGGTGTCCATCTACACTCATCACTATGCTGATGGCGAGGTGACCAAGTATGAAAAAAGTCACCATGGCTATTGTTTCATCCTGTCCTGGATCTGCTTCTGTTTCAGTTTCATCATTGGCATCCTCTATCTGGTTCTGAGAAAGAAATAAGGCTGAACACACGCATGGGGATCTGGGGGGTAGGGAGGAAGAGGAAGGAGTTGAATCCGGGAGGGGAGTAGAAATTGTTGTGTTGGAAAAACCAAGAAGGGGTGGGGGGTGGGAGGGGGGGTAGTAAAGGTGGGAGAGACTGAAACCCAAACTATTGCTGAGGAGATTCTCTACCATCAAGACCCTGCCCTTGGAGAAAGGAGTTGGCTCCTACTTTGAAGATCCCTTGATGTGGGCCAGAAAGCCTCTCTCTTGCCACCAGACTTAGCCTGCAGCTGTTTTCAGTTACACACACTGCCTGGAGCTCCCTCAGCTGCCATACACATCATCCACCCCACCTCTGAGGGGAAATTCTGGATCAGGCACTGAGGTCCTCAGACTTATTGCACCAAGTTAACGTAGTGGTACAAGTTCTGGCAAGAGCAGATACTGTTTTTGTGCCAAATATGCTAAGCCTAGAATTCATCCTGCCCTTCTGAAGCGCCTGCAGAGGGCTATGGCTATGGAGCCATTTCCTCTCTTTAGGACTAATATGGAGTTGGATGGAATGCAGTGGCATTTGTGACAAATCAGTAGGTAGCAAAGTAGAGTTGGGAGGCCAAGATGGTGAGTTAGCTAAACTAAGAGAACTTTTCAGAAAGGAAAAGCCTGGAGGGATGGTCAGAACATAGACTAGACCTCACACTGCTATCCCTTTGTGAAGGCTGCTTGCCACAGACTTTGCTGGCCTTTCCCTTAAAGCTACGGCAACTCTTCTGCAGTGTCTGTAAGGCCATTAATAGCCAATTCAGTGGTGAAAGCATCATACAGATAATATGGTCAAGAGGGCTACACTAGGGCCATGTTTGTAGGATCCCCTCTCAGTGCAGTCAATGCTTCTTTCAAGTAAGTGCTGGGAGAGAGATGGGCATTGCTTCTGGGCTACAATCTTACCTCTCTCCCTCTATGTATATCCCTTTGTGAAAGTTCTGTGCACTTATCCATATTGAGCACCAAGACTCCTAAGTTTTGTGGTCTCTGTGGCTTTAACAATAGCTAGAGTGGCCACCTCTCAGAGTACCTGCTTGTCCCACTTCCCAGGTGTGGATTGGCAACTCTGGAATTGGATTAAAACACATACAAACCAAAAGCAAACTACAGGCCTTTGAGTGGAAGGTGCTACCAAATAGTTAAGTATTAAGCATACTATATTATGGTCATGCTAATAGCAGAGTGTCTGTACTCCTAGGAAAGTAAGAAAATTCCCACACGATCAATATTAACTACAGGTGAAGGGCAGATATTTTCTTTCTTAAAAAAAATCAGAAATCCTTACAGTATCCAGTCAGATGACATCTGGGCTGCTCTGATGCCGTAGGAGTATTTCCATATAGACTTAGAAGTAGGTAGCATGTTATTCCTGGTTAAGCAGGCATTGCTCTTCCTTGAAGCAGCTATTTTAAAGTCATCTCAGATTCTCTCTAACGGGTTTTTTTTTTTTTTGTGGGGGAGATAGCTACTTTACCTCCTGAGAAGAAATCTACTCCAGGAAGAATCTGAACCACCTTGCCCACTTGCCTTCTGGCTGCCTCCTCATCCTATTTCTTATATACTTTTCTTATTTGGGGAGTTGTTATGCCTTGATTGCTGGTATTTATGTAAAAGGACTATCATTACTAAGCATATTTCTCCATATTCATGCTGGTTAAGGGAAGAATGAGGACAGGTCACCAGCTTACTAGGGCTAGGGGTGGAAAAACTCACCATCAGAGACTGTGGAATGAGAAATGATTAGATGATGATTGAATGATCTGACAGTTACAGAAGCCTGTCTGATGTGCAAATGCATACTTATATATCAGATACAGACAGAAGAGACACCTACATCATGTTAAAAAGTCAAACTCTGACCAGAGTGAACCATGTATTCCATTGTCTTTTACTTTTTATCTGTGGCATTTACATCTCATGTAATTTGCATTACCTTTGTGGGCTGTTCTAGTACTGTATTTGGCTTATTCTTCAATGGATTGTTATTTCCTATACCATAATTGTAAATATTTTGATACAAATGTTTATAACTCTAGGGATATAAAAACAGATTCTGATTCTCTCCACTGTGTGAATGTTTCATTTCTTAAAAAAAAGAAAAGAAAAGTAGGGCAATATGGATAATAGTGACCGTTATTCCTTAGTAAATTGCCAGTTTGGCTTGAATAACTTGCCATTATTTGACACTATGCTGTTTTCTGGTAATTCACTGGGTATTTTTTCATTAACTCAAGCAACTGGACATAAGGCATTGTTTTCTCCTGCTTTAACTAAACTTTTTTGATACATTATAAACTCCAAACAAATCCACTGCTGTCCAGTTGATTTTGATTTATGATAACCTTCCATGGTTTCTGAGGTTATAAATCTCTGGGAAAGGAGGCGGCTCATCTTTCTTCTACAGAACCGCTAGTGGATGTCAACTACTGATCTTTTTGTCAGCAGCACAATTCATACACACTACGTTACCTGAGTGCGCCTTAAGTGAATACTTTAGATGGGAGTTATTTTCTTGAAAATCAGGATGGACTTTAACATCAAGAAATGAGTCGTCTATGTTTCTGTGAAATACCCAGCTTCTAGAATGTATTTAAATATGAAGTAATTTATCCAGGGTAATCATCACATACATTTGTGGGAGCCTATTTATTGTTTAAAATTGAGGCAAATATGCATGAGCTCTGGAAGCGAAGGGAAACTTTACTGTGTCTGTAAACATAAGATCTAGAAACAAAGATGGATGAAGAGGGTGGATACTGCATACACTACCATCATGCCTCTGCCAACATGATAAGAAAAATTTCAGTGTAGTGTAGCTTATCTTTCATTCCACCAAAAACAGGTGATGACACCTGACAATAAAAATTCAACATATTTTAAAATCACTTGATCAAGTTGCATTGATAGTATCTTCTCTAAGACTTAATAGGATGGGCAATCTCCTCCCATGCGATTGACTACCTCTGAAAACTCATTGGAGGGTCAGCTATGGGTCGGTTCTGACTTCATGGTATACAACAACAACAATATGTACGTGACACCTCAGACACTATCATTTCTTAGAAACTATTGTGAGAGGTCTACTTCCCTCCTGTATACTTCTCCGTGGACACCTACCTGAGGAAGCTATCGCCCACACCATCTATAGACGTAGAATAGTCTCCAGAGAATGCCTCCTTCCCTTCTGCTACAGAAGTCCTTAACTGTACTACCCAACACTCTTAACCCCAGGCATGCTCTCCTGTCAAGACCATATCATCTCCCTTAGAGACCTGGATGGTGAATGGGAGGAACATATTTAACTAGAATAAGGTGTTGGCTTACAAAACAGTTTGAGAAAATAAAAGAACCAATTATGTTTACGAATGACATTTATAAGTGTGGAAATAGACATTGGGGCTAACTCACAAAATGATCTTGCATATTCTATGTAAAGGCAGAACATTGTTAGAAGCTCTTTTCCAGATGAGCATAATTAATATTTGTTGCCTCTCACATCTTAGGTAGATTGAAAAGGTTAAAACGTAAAATTGGCCCAACATATGACACTAGGAGAGAGCTGTTTCTGGCCTAGTGAGTAAGGATTGGGTTGTGAACCCACAGGCACACAGTTTGAATCCACCAACTTCTCCTCAGGAGAAGAGTGGACACTCTCTTCCTGTGTGATTTATAGCCTCTGAAAACTCAGCTGTGAGTTGGTTTTGACTCTGTGGTACATAACAAGGATTAGCAGAGCAGGAGGGAGAAACTATGTCACTCTTGGTTATGAGTGGGTCCTTTGCTCAACTAGTGACATTAATTCATCCAGGTGATAAACTTGAGTCAATAAGTGGTTAAACTGTAGTGATATCAGTCTACCTTTGACTTAGGTATTAAAATGCCTACTTGAATCCCGACTGGTTCAGAAACAGAAAAGAATTTTGAAGAAGCCTTGAAACACATGAAACCAAAGAAGACATTGAGCAGAACAAAATAATACTTGAACAAAATAGCTTTTCTCCTAAGGCATGGGGTTTGATTCCACCACTTGCTCCAAGGGGAAAGGATGGACAATCTCCTACCATTCAGTTTACTGCCTCAGAAAACATGCTGGAGGATCATCGATGACTTGGTTCTTACTCAACAGCACACAGCAACAATAATAACAGCCTGTGATTACTGAGAACAAAATAAGTTCTCTCCTATATATACTGTTGTTGTTAAGTGCTGTCGAGTCAAGTACAACTCATAGCGGCCCTATGAACAATAGATCCAAGCTCTGCCCTATCCTGCACCGTCCTTACCATCCTCAGCACATTTAAGTCCATTGCTACAGGCACTGTATCAATCCATTTCATTTAGGGTCTTCCTTTCCTTTGCTGACACTCCACTTCTAAAAAACAGTGAAAAAATACCAAACTCCAGATAAAATGCATCAAGAGAAAATATATGCACATAAAAGAAAGCTGGATTGGGTGGAGAAGGAGACATGAGGAATAGGATAGAGTGGTGGAAGGTAGGATGAGAACAACAACAACAATCTCTCCCAAAACGTTGTCATAGATTTTGAGGAGGAATGGTTAATTTGACAGATGTAGTCATAGTCTAGAAGAACACAGAATCAGGGCACACAGCGGGATAGGCAGGATGTGCTCTGACTGTGTGGAGGCCAAAGAAAGGAATGCTTTGGATTCTTACTTGACCCTATTTGTCTTGAGGATTCATGTAGGACCCATCATGGATCATACATACACATTGTTACTATCAAATAGATTCCAACTTGCCGTGGCCCAGGCTAGAGCTTCTTCCCATAGCGTTTTCAAAGCTGTAATATTTACTATGGAGGCAGATTCCCACACTTTATTCTATGGAGAGGCTGTAGGTTCTAACTGCTGCCTTTCAATCACTTTTGTATCCTAGCACTTTTTTTCCCCAGCCTCTGAATTTTATTTTATTATTTTTTCCCATTCATTCTCTGTTACAGACTTTCC